AACTGATTCAGTTCTCACCCCTTTGTCAACATTATTATTTTTTTCCTAATTAAAATCCACAAAAATCCAAACTCAACTAACCATATAACCTACCCCAACCCAATGAACATCCATTTCTACCCTTTGTATTACCACTTAACCCGTAAAAACTGTTCATTTCTATGTTGTGACACCTAAATCGGTCTCAGTCTACGTAATATATGCATATATGTTCTTTTTCATTGCTTAACGGTTTATAAAATCAAGTATGAAGAGTATCCAGCTGACGAGTACTACTGAAATTTATATACTCGTTTAATCCTGTTTCTTTTTCACATTCGTTGCTTGTTCTAAATTTCTTCATGTCATTGTCCATATTCATATCACACGAATATGGACAATAAATTGTGCTTGAAATGTTATCTTGTAAATGCTACTGTTTCACCGCTTGATATCTCTAATAAACAGACTAAAATGGAATTACAATCGACAACAGTGCCCCAAGTTTTACTCCTATATTCATATTTCTGTTTTTCACGTCATCATAAAAATTACCATGAAAAGCGAAGAAATCGGATCAACCCAATAAGTGTTAACCGCAAAGATAAGTGCGACAATAGAGAGACAAAGAAACAAGGAAACCGATATTTTGAGCTGAACATGTGAGAGGGTTATTAGTCAACAAATTTTAAGCCGGTAGATGAAAAAATGGTGGGCATTAATTTACCCTGCTGGTTAGGTTAATGAAAGAGGTTGCACGAATTTTTTATGAATACAAACATTAGGCCTATAGAAGTGGGTATATCGTTATAGTTTCTGCTATGTGTATCAAGCGAATACGTAAGCTACACCAAAGACTGGATGATATGCAGTAATTAACTGTAAAGACACGCCTCTCATTCACTTCATGACCTGTATGTATCAGATACCCAGGCATTGAGCTTTGTATTTGTTTTCTCCGTCCTTTACTCAGCCCCAATGGATGGTGTTCAGATATACCACGATGGAATTGCATATTTGTACGCATGTGGAACAAGATACGGATTTTTAACACCAATCCAGTCAAGTCAGTGCTCCTGTATGGTTCAGAGACTTGGCGCGTTACGAAAAGCACTTTCAACAAACTACAGACTTTCATCAACAAATGTATATGCTGGCTCGTTACTGAAGCTCAGATGGATTGCCACAAAGAATAAGCAACAAGGAACTCTGGCTGGCTGGCAACGAACCAACCAAGAAGCTGTCGCCCAACAAATATGCAGTAGAAGGAAGTGGAGATGGATCTGGCATACACTGAGAAAGCCGACTGAGGACATTACGCACCAGTCCAGGCCCTCGAGTGGAACCCAGATGGGAAGCGATGAGCTGGGCGTCTCAGCTGAGGGTGACATGAAGGAGATGGTTAGAGGAAGAAATGAGAGGTTGTGGGCTGTTGTGGAGCCAGGTTCAAAAGATTTCAGAGGACAGAGTGGAATGGAGACGTGCTACTGAAGCCCTATGTTCAATTAGGACCCCAAGGGACAAATTAAAAAACATAATAATGTTACTAGCTCTACAGAATCAGTTAAACTGATAAATCGACTTAGAACAAGCAAAACAAGGAGTTTATATTTATACTGTTCATCTAAAATTAACAAATTGTAGACGATCTGCTATGGACTGACATAAGTTAGAGGAACATTGGAAACCTGGTTGCATTGAACATCCGTTTCGTCCTGATATGGGACTCCTCAGCAGTCCGTACCTATGACCCCGCTAGGGAGGGAACCCAGGCCCTACAGGCTCCGTGGCCAGCACATTACCACTGAGCCACTGGGTCAGAATCCAGTGGTCCAGATTTCCAACTTCTGTCAGTTCGTGGCATAGTCTGACCATCACCCAATGTCATCTTCAACCGTCTAGTGTTCCCAAGTTTTCATTGTTCCTCCAAATGATAACAGTCTATGATGAACACCAACTTGAAAAATCACTAAATCCCAACAAATCGCTAAATTAAATTGTAAAAGAGTTGAGATTGAAGCATCGAGTGTTGTTTGATAAGTTTCTCTCAAACGTTGTTTTATAATGTTCTTGATGATGTTGCTTTTCAATTCAAATTTCAATAAAATGGCTGTCTTAGATGTTGTAAGCACCTTCGATTTGGCTTTCGTCTTCGTGTTCATAACCACTAATTTAGCAGGAGATGGAATCGTACTAAGCAGACTCAGCATAATTTCCAGTTCCTTTTTCTACTATATCGACAGAGTAAATGACATTTTGCACAATCAACTATCAGATTTTGTTTATATCTGAGAGGTAGAGAGGTACAGACGTGAGTGGGCTGGCTAGTCGATGTTCTCTCTTTACAAATGCTTAGTTTATGGTTTGTCTCCGACCCTCTTAAAAATAGGGTATCTAGAAAACAAATACAATGATTTCAATCTCACTGGATAACCTTGTTTATAAATATTATTAGTACTATATATCCTACTGGGGTTATCAGTTTTATCCAATGAATTAAGCCATTTTGGCAAGCCTGGTAGTGACTTCATCTGGCATATTAGGTCTGGTTTCAATAGGCTTTTCATTGGCCCCATATGAACTCGTTAGGTTGTCTTCGTAAGCCTTTGTGAAGTAATCGATTTCGTTCATAACTGCCATTGAACTACCTTTGTTAGCTTTCATGACGGCTATGCCGCAGTCATTTCTTAGTTTCTTCAGGAATATTATTTTCCACCTTATTCTATTGCACTAAAGCTTAGTCACACTGTACTCGGGTCTCTTCAGCAGCGTACTTATGTATTGAATTCAGAACTACTTCTGTAGTGGGATAGGACATTCAGGTTTCAACAGACTTAAAGCTACGCTGAACTGAATAATTTTATCGAGCGCTATGATTAAACCTTTTACTTTTCTAATGACATTGACCACCCTTTCTGTCCTATCCACTGTTAGTGGTGTTTCCTTGGAAGCTTTATTGTTCTCAGCAGGAAATTTTTCTTCTGTCAGTTCGATGAAATTTGAATTTAGGATCTGTTAAAATCATCTGTTCCTGCATTGATGGATATTTCGACCCAAAAATCATATTCACTGTTGTTCACCATCCCCATAATTTGACATTTGATTTGTCAGATCCCATTAAATACGTTCATTGGTCACTGGAGGGTAACCAACTTTATGTTGCCTAGTTCTATGTGATAACCAAAATTGTACCGATCATTTTGCAATATGGCCACCAGACTAGGCAGCCCAGCATCGCGGTGTGCTTTGGATGTATCTGATCCAGTCCAACAGGAGGTCAGTCATGGCCCAAATAGCTCAGTGATAACGTCACTGACTATAACACTGGATGGCATGAGACAGAATCTTATGCATGACATCATTTCCGTCGAGGTTGCAGATACAACTTGCTGACGAGTGCCAACAAGCAAGGAAGCTAGGACTAGAACTTCCTGCAGGTTGCATCCATCCAAATAAAAACTATAAGTTTCAGGAATATAAGATTCCTCTGTCTACAGTAGCATGATATAAATCCTTTTCTTTGGAACAGAATACAGACAAGGTTTCAGCATTAACTGATTTCTAAAGTGGTTTATAAACAGAGATTGACTTCCATTTTCCATAACTGGATGAGTTATTGTTTTTAATTTTACACTTCTTGATGCCATATTTGTTTTATTCAACTTAATATTTTCATTTTTCACGTCATATACCCATTTCATAAAAAGGGAATGGTTGGCTGAAAGCTTCGGTGACCTTTCATTAGAATGAGGTAATAAAAACTGAATCCATTTGAAATCTACCACTCAGTTAGTTAGTCTATGCATAATTTCATTCTTAGAGTACGGTCTATTTACAGGCCTACCCGAGTACTTATGAATCACTAAATTTAACATAGAATGTTTATTGTCTTGTAAATAGGTGAGTAAATATTTGAATAATCTCTGCATTACAGTATAAACAATCATATAAAAAGTTTTTGTTTTTCTAAACTGCATTTTTACACTGATTCTCATATACACTAGGTCTTATATGAAGCAAACAATCCATTATATGAAAAAGAAAAATAATCTCTCGAGGTAGACCAGAATATACATTTATTCACAGACTCAAATTTTGCTACTTGATTAAGTTTTATTGAAGAACTGGTGATGGATGCCTAAATACAGGAAGTCAACATCAGTTAGATTAATAGAACACTAAGTCGAAAACCAGCGGTTGGGATCTATATGTGGCATAGGCTTTCAGTAGACATTTACTAATCATTCAGTATTATTTATAACCTTCTGTCAAACCACACCAATCACAGATGATCTTGTTATTGAGGAAAAAATAGTGAAACGAAGAATAGGTAACTACAGCCTCAACACTGACAAAAGATTGAATCAGTCCACAAAATTTGAGCAAAATTTCTCACACTAAATCATAATACAAATGAAAACACCTAGCGAATAGACATTCATATTTGTCAATCAATGTATCAAGTATCCATACACAAAATATGATAACAACCCAGTCAATAATTTGTTTGAGCCTACAAAAATACAAGAATCACTTTTCTTGGGTTAAGTTGATTTTGGTAGGAATGTTTAGCGCAACAGATGGAGAACTTACATTACTTTAGAAAAGACTCCTGAGTGTAAAATACTTGACATCAACATAAAATTATATCAGTCTCGTGTTAGCATGAAGCAAATTAATTCGTAGAGCGTAACACGAAACCACATTGTCGAATCACTACGAATTGAGGGGATCTTGAAACTTAAGATAAAAAAGTCAGTTTGCTCAATCCATAATGACGATGGAATGAGTTATCGATGATCTTCATAAAATCATACAAGTGAACAGTCTGATCACATAGGTCACAGTTTTGGGACAAATAATACAATGAATCAGCAAAGTCAACTAAGAGCATATGTGAGTCGGTATTCTATCATAATCTCGAAGAACTCATTTCATACCTTCCATTTACGGCAAGTCGTTACTAAATTTCATTCATCTTTTTATCAGCTCAGAAGAATGACATGAATGGTAAAACTTACCATTTATTCGGTAATCTCCTGATTGATAACAGAACTAGAATCGATTGCTGAGGATTATGCTTTCCCTGAAATCCGCAATTTTCATCATGATAACTACTGACATGATATCTCAGTACTTTATGAGATCATGTCGCAAACAAATTTATTCTGTTCCTATGAAATATGAATTGTTTAATTGTGGAAAGACTTGATTGTTTGCAGTTACTTGCGTAATTTGTTGTTCAACTTGGACTTAGATCACATGAAATAAAATGGATTCACTTTTTCTCATAATATTTGTTGTTCTCGCTTTAAAAACATTAATCATGTGATCTAACTGTATAAAGTGTTATTTCGTACTGATAAACAAAAAATATATGCATTTTTGAGATGAATGGGGATTATTAATTTAGAAGTAGTATTCATCATGGAAACCGACCCAGTGGTTGAATGGTTAACGCGTTCGCTGTGAAACCTGAAGGTCCTGGGTTCGATCCATAGACGGATGGTGGGTGCGCACTGCTGAGTAGTCCCATACTAGGACGAAACAGCTGTCCAGTGCTACCAGATTTTCAATAGTTCCCCGACTGATGTCAGTCCATGATGAATACAACTTCTAAAAAATATATCAGTAAAGTTCATACATGAGATGTAACTAACATGTATAACGCACCAGCAAATCAATGTGGAAATTAATTTTATATTTCTGACTTCAAGATCTATTCGTCTACAAAAAGGCGCAGTTGTTTGTTTCTTTCTATGTATACAATTACAAGCAGGTTATTTGAATCATAGCTAATGTTCCCAACTTAAATGAGAATGAAGATTTACTTTACTGACAAGTTTGGACAATAATGAAACTTAGGATAACACGTTTCGTGGTGATAGACTGCAACCATAAACTCTCTACTTGAATTAAACTAGTACTCATTATCTTTGTGGAATTCGATTACGGTGAAAGGACTCAGTTTGATTAGTTTTGTTAAACATCACTTAATTAATCCCTTGGTCAATTACAGTGATCAGTTTAGTTCAATGAATTCACACCAATGTCATTATAACTAACGTTGCTATTCATTTTATCTACAAATGAATTTAGCAACACAAGCAGAATTGCCTTCTTTGTTGAAGTTTCAGGAACAGGATCTCCACAACTATAATTCAGTACAAGCAAATTAAATGTTTTTTTATTCTAACTCAAACTCTAGTGTACATCAAAGTTTTCTCCGAAGTGTTACTAAAACATCTGAAGTCATAGTGTTTTTCAACCTGCTGAAATATGCCATTTATATTGATTTAAAACAGTCAACACCTTCAAAAGCAGCAGTAACTCCAAGTCTCCATATGACTCTTCACATGAATGCTGTACATACTTACCTTAAACTTACTATTTACACATAAGAGTACCGACAAAGAGTAATTATTCAGTAAAACAACTGTGAAAAACGATACTTGAATAATCGATTAACAGCGGAACCGTTTAGACCTTGACATGAACGGATGTTTTAAAGAGTTCTAGGCAATTAGTAAAACGTAATGGATCCTTATAATGTTCTTGTCAACCTGGCCTGGTTAGCCAGTTAACTAGTTACTAGCCAGTCCTAAGCCCAGATTAACAGCGAAGCTTGTGCATAAGAATAGCAACCCTACACCACAAAATCAATCAAACCACTAAACAAACTTCAAATCACAAAGAAAATATTAAAAATCAAAATAAACTCATTCCTCACTCGAATCGGAGAGACGAAGTGATGCCGGTTGGTGAAAGTCTTCACGAAGCCGATTAACGATGTGTCTTCTCCTCTCTTCTCTTCTCTCGATGAAAGCAGAAGTGAACATGGGGACATGGAATATCCGCACTATGTTTGAAGCTGTCTGGCAAGACTGTCCACATTGCAGGAGAGATGGGAAGGTGTAGCATAGAATGGCTGAGGTAGGAATCAGCGAGGAATCAGCAGGTGGAATGGAAGTGGACTCTCCAAACTGTCAACTGTAGAGTCAATAATCTACTCGGATATTGTTAAACAGACAACAACCATAAAAGCACAGCACACTGCCTTTTCCAGTGGCTATCATGATGTCCCTAACAGCATCGAAGACTCTCTGCCATGCAGTGGGAACAAATCCCCTCTTCATCCAGTATCATGATCATGACAGGAAAATTCAACTCGAAATGAAGGAGAGTCACAATCATTCAACGCTAGACCTTAGAAGATTTGTATTTCGCCAATAATGATGATTTACGTCTAATGTCACAAACTCAAAGATCGACATCCAAAAACCAACAAGTTGGCAGAATAGGTGGGGCAGCGAAGGCGGGAATTCATATGAATGTGCAGAAGACAGGGGTGGTGAATATACTCAATCAACAACAACAGCAACAAACAGCAATCATCTTCAGTGGGAGAAATCTAAAGGAAGTTATCTGTTTCGTCTACCACCCACTCAAAGCAGTATCGTTTCATCTACAGGTGGCGGCACAGATGAGGAAGTTAAAGCAACCAGGATCGGAAAGACGAGAAGACACGCCTTCCTGCATTAATTTGAAATCAGTGTAGAGATCTACTGCACTCAACATAAAGTGTGAACAGGATCCGGATTTTCAACTTTGATGTCAGTTAAGTGAGTCAGTGCTTATGTTTGATGGTTGAGAGACTCGTCGCCTTACGAAAAGCACTTCTAACAAACTGCAGACGTACATGAACAGCTACCGCCTACGTTCACTCGATACTGAAACTGAAGATCAGATGGATGGCCAGAATCATAAGAATAAGCAGAAACGAATTCACTCTGGCTTGGCAACGAACCAACCAAGAAGCTATCGTCCTACAAATATGGAGAAGAAAGTGGAGATAGATTGGACTGAATTGGGCATACACTGAAAACACCGTTTAGGAGGACCACGTGCCAGGCCAGACTCTCTAGTGGAAGCCAAATGGGAAACGACGAGTCGGGCATCTGAGCCCTTGGGTGACGTGGAGGAGATTGTGTGAGGAAGAAATGAAAGTTTGTGGGCAGTTGTGGAGCCGGGTTGAAAAGACTGGAGAGAAGAGAGTGAGATGGCGATGTGCTACTGAAGCCGTATGTTCCACTAGGAACCCGAGGGACAAATAATGAAAGTAGTGATAATAATGTGCTTGTCGGTACTAGTCAGGCTTAATGCTCAATGCTTTCAATCACCTAACATCAATTTAAGTGTACTGTGATGCTGAGTCTAGTGCTTTAGTGTGCACACTGCTAAATGATGGACAGACTTCACTCAACACTTAGGAATAGACAACATTAAATGGATTACTCTCCAATGACCGGTTGATATGAGGATTTGGAGAGTGCAAATCTAAATTTACTTAAAATATTGACAAGGTGTAGTAACTAATATCAATAGTTTTAGTACTTCGGGAATACTCTATGGAATATCCAACATGTCATATAGGATCAATTGGATAGGAATAGTGTATATATATTCATAATATGATGAAGTAAATCGAAGTTTTCTACATGAAAATGAGAATATTTACTCCATCTACAACCTTCTTAAAAATGCCGAGTTAACTTAGATAGACAACCTCATTAGTCATTAGATTCATAATACATTAGTAATAACAAGCTATGTACTCGTTAATCACTTTGCTTTCAGAAACAGAAGTTGATTAGTTAGTTCAATTGTAAAACTTTCTTCATCATGCAGGAGACTAGCTAAATACGGTATTGCAGAGTTTATATATTTAGTATCACGTGCATAAAGTCTTACGAACTTGCTCCTCGTCTTGGCTGACGACCAACACGCACAGAACTTTGAGTGAAGAGGATGCTGATAATCTGATAAAATAACTCTTGCCAGATGTTCACATGAGTCACGATGTTTGTCCACAACTGTTTTAACCGGAAGGTACACTAGAGGTACACTAGTTCCGCCGATAGTCTTAACAGTTCTTCTCAATATAACGTAGTCTTGTTTCAGCCAGGGAAACAATAAAGAGGAACAATAGAGGATAAAGGATAAGATTCAGGAGTTTATAAGACACAAGACGAGAGACTGTGTTATACTAGATACTCTCAGCTTCCTAATTAATATAAAAAGTCGGGTGGAAAATTCTTTTGAAGTCTAGTAAGATATGGAGGGACCAGGAAAGATCCGAAGAAAAACGCATAACAAGATCAATCGCATTTGTAACACTCACCAATATACAACTATCAATGGAATAGGGATCAAGAGAACTACGCAGTTTACTTACGTTGAGTTCACATCTGAAACTAAAGTTTGTGGTCTGACATTTTGAAGAATTAAGCACAAGGCCGTTTACATAGGCCCATCATCTAACAGTAGATAGGAAGTCATTCATTCGGGAACAATCAGTTGAAGAGGAGACAGGTAGGGAAACTGTCAGATCATCAGCATACTTGACAAAATTGATTCTACCTGGTGATGGTAAGTCATACAGAAAGGAAGGGAAAAGACTGGGGCAAAGGACTGCTCCTTGACGAACACTAGTAAAAATATGTAATCAGCTGGAGCATTTCCCTCTGTAAACAGTACATTATTTCCTTCCAGAGAAACAGGAATAGGGCCGGCTGATTATCCAGAGACCTTGAGACAGAATTAGACGCTGAATTACAGTCTAGAAAGGCACACGTGGCATCGCTTGGCATTTTTGTCAAGATTTTATGCAACACTGTAATGTTAGACAATGATGGCATCCAGCGTGCTTCTTCAGATTTTATATGGAAATTGATTATGGTCTCCAAAAGCCTTCAATGAGGGTTCAAGCACATGTACACCTAGCTCCTTCGTTATTTTGAAGAACCGAGAAGTAAGCACAATTCTATGGAATTTCGGGTATGCGACGGAAGTTCATGACTTAAGTACGTGGAATATATCAATATCATTCCAGGCAGCTGGTATGGTGTTTTCTGAAAACGATCCATCAACTGCGTTAGCTAATGGATGGCATAAAATATCAGCACACTTCGGGAATACGAAGCTTGACATACCATTCGGATTTGGACTTTACGAAGGGTTCAGGAATTTAAGACACTTTGAAGCATCTTTCTTGTTGAATTACGGACAATATTCTTCATTGGAAATACGCAGACAAAGTGGGATGGGACAGATAGGTTGGCGTATAAGCGATCTGTTCAAAGTAAAGATGTCAACTTGTGCTTCTTTCTTAAGATATTTACTACCAGTGAAGTTTTTAAAAAGTTTTACACCTGTTGGAGGAGCCTTTGCGTAACAAAAGTTTCTTATAATATAGAGG